GATAGATTCACCCTCTATTTTGTATGAAAAGCAAAGCATATCCTCCCTCCCACCCAAACCACAACCTTGATAATTTGGACATAGAATGAATTTTCTGAGACTGTACAGTAAATCCTTTAATTAATTTAGGGGTTGAAATTAATGTATAACTGGGTTCTTTCAGAAATTTAGCATCCAATGTCACACCTTTTTTGTTCCTCATAATCTTAACAGAATAATGCAAATTGCTGCTGTTTGAAGAAATTCTTTTTAGGATTAATGGAAATTTTCCCTCTTGGTCATACCTCAAACTTCCTTCTTCAGCAGAGATAAAAGAATCATCCTCAGAAAATTCCATTAAGAACCGCCCTTCTTCAGAATGGCTGTAATCTCCTATTATTCTCACTGAGACTGAGATTTCCTTGCCAGTAGTAAAGACCATCACTGCCTTCATTCACCTGATTCTCCTAATATTCCATGTTGCTTCATGGCAGTTTATATGGCCACCATTTTCACTCAGGGCAGTTTGGCTTTGCTTTCCATTGGGAATAATGAAAGGCAATCACCATTTTGGAGAAGTTTTATTTTAACTAAAAGTGGCATGTAACTTCAGTGCTATTAACAGGAAAAGGTGGCCCTTTTTAATAGAGTGTTCTTCATGAACCTCTCAGAAATGTTGTCCGCCTCTGTCAAGCTTTCCATTATGAAAAAAAAATAATCCTGAATATTTTCCAAGGCTTTTCTATTGCATCAGATCCACTCAATAGAGATTGAGCAGGAAGGAAGGAAAAACTAGTTTGCGTGTTTTTCGGGCACTATAAGGGATGCAGGTAGGAATTTAAGGGACATGTGCAGAGGCATAGGAGGTAAGAAAAGCCTGGTGAGAAATGTACAAGGGAACATGAATGTCGTGTGTGTGTGTGTGTGTGTGTGTGTGTGTGTGTGTGTGTGTGTGTGTGTGCGCAAAGAAAATCACGTTTTTTTGTTTTTTAAATTTTAAAAATCAAAACAACCTCCCTGCCCCAAATCATGTGGCTTTTGCATGGTGCCACACAGTTACAGTAGAGGATGCTTGTATGCCCTGGCTATGTTTCTGTACTTCAGAGGTATGGATTTCTTTAATCCAGAATTTCCTAGGTTTCTAACATTTTGTGTTTAATTACAATAGCCTTAGAATGTGTGCAACACCTTAAATTATTTAATTTTACTCTCCAACTCTATTTTCAACAGTCTTTTGTCTGGGAACATACACTTGACTGACTTTTTCCATGACTCTGTTAGATAAAAATGAATGATTAAAATCCCAATTTTTTGTATATGCCATTCCTATCGAGCAGCTTGTAAAAAATTGTACTAAAGTCTTCCATTGACCCACCTACCCACCAAATCATCACCTGGCTTGTGCAGTTCATTTGAAGTTTTGTCATGGACTTTGCAGGGTCAAGATTTGCCCTTACCCTGTGCATCTTTGTAAGTCCTACCATTCAATTGCTATGTCCAATGACTAGCTCTTCTGTACTTGTGGCTATATTCTGCTGTTACACCAATGGCAACTAAAGTCAATAAAGCTATTCTTACCAATGTAACGAAGTAGAATTCACCCCTGCTAAAAAGAAAAGCCTTGGACATCCTTTTAGAGCTTTAAGACCTAGTTGTGGTGTGTTCAGTTTAGGTATTTTTCCTCCAGTGGCTGGTAAAGTATGCAATAATTGTCCTGAAAAACTGACTCTGTTTTTCACCAAATTTTCAAAAATACTGACACCTAAATAGAACAACATTTAGTGCCTATTTTTAGGTTGCACCTCTCCTAATTTTTCATATTTGCACTGAGGCAGGAAAGATTAGAGATGCAGTGCTCTAGCCTGTCGTCTTCTTTTTGTTTGTTGGCTTTGCTGCATCATAGAGTTGCAGAACATCCTGAAGACTTAATCTTTACATCTTACTATTTTTGTTAAAATGTGCTGGTAAAAGTATGGACCCTTAAAATACCTTAAATGACTCACTAAAAATATGTACTACACTCTAATAAATCACAGAAAGAAGCATTACTGAAATGAAAAAAGTGGCCACCTATTTATAAACGATTTATGCTTCAATCTTCGCCCTAAAACAATTTTAAATAGCTTCTAATTGGATCTCCAACTTCCAGTTTAATAGCCACACTTGCCAATTTCAAAGCCACACTTGCCAATTTGTATTGGGTCTGGGTTGGGTGAAGAGGAGAGTAGGTACTATGAAATAATTTAAAAGTACAGTCCACTTGTATTTTTGGCTAATATAATGCAGTACAGGATTATAATCCTTTGACAATACATACATATATATAGTCTTGAAGTTTTGTAAACAAGAGGAATGTACATCTTTAAAGTCTTTTCATGCCATGATTTATTTTTCAAACTTTAACATTGTGCATTTACATATACTGTCACGTTTGTTGGACTGACCCCATTTCCAGGACCATAAGGGTTTTCTGCAGAATAATGATCAATGAAAATATTGGCATATAATTTTGAGAAATTTAACATGGAATGTAGTCTACTAGACATCAGCGCGATAACCTGATCTTCCAGCATGTACCCTTTATTTTTAAAACGTTGACATCATGTAACCCAGGGTGTGTGGTCCATAAATACATTGTGAGCTTTCACCATACAACAAGGGTGGGGAACCTTTTTTGGGTCAGGGGCCGCTGACCCACAGAAAAATTAGTTGGGGGCTACACAGATGTGAGAAGCAAAAAACCCCAAATCGTCACTGATGCGGCCCCCAGCTGAGAAGGAGAAAGACACTCCCCACATTCCCCCTCATACACCAGAGCCTAGTGAGACCCAGGCTAGTAGATTTTTGTGTGCTCCAACCCTGCAGGGAAGCATCAGGGGTATGGAGTGCAAGCACGGCCTGCCCAATACTGGACTGGGAGCTCTGAGTCTTGGGGGCCAGATCCAGGCAAGCCAGGGGTCGCATCTGGCCCGCTGGCCTTAGGTTCCCCACCCTGCTATCCAGGGATGATGATCCTGAAAATATAGTAATCCAAGAATGCGCTGAACAACTTCCTGGGATTTAAATGATCTATTCCTTCTCCATTTGCAATGCTTTTTATCTTCAAAATCCCATCTTTGCCTCTCGATCTAAGCAGCCATTTTGAAACTATAATCGTCTATGGCCAGTACCCAAAAGCTGTTTAACGCAAAAAAAATGAACCTTCCTTCATCCCAGCTACTACCCTGAGAATATAGCATCCATGGTACTTCCTTGCCATAGGACCAAGCACATATGTGCATCTCAGACTTCTACCCGATTTGACAGCCAGCCCTTCAGTTCAGCCACCTCCAACAATTTAAAATAGTTTTTAATGCATACTTGAGCAGTCTTATGAAACACAAATATGGTTCATGGTCTGGTTGAAGATGAAAGAGAGAAATTGCAGTGTGAATGTCCCGTACCTGCAACTAATTTTGGCATTGTATGGCTAAGACAACAATGAATAGGTAAATTACAAGACTGAAAAGGAGGGATACAAATTTTTTAAAAAAGCTGAAATGTTTTCCCTACTAACATTATGACTTTGTCATCAGATGTATAAAACGAATGTTAAGGTGACCTATGAATGATTTTTTTAAAAGATTGGCTTGTGCCCTATTATTCTTTGTTATAATACAGGCAGTCCCCGACTTACGTAGATCCGACTTACGTTGGATCACTACATACAAACGGGGCTTTTCTCGCCGCAAACTGTTGATTGCAGAGTCTTGTTGTCAGAAGCCCTAAAAAGGGCTGGATCCGATCGGGTCCCACGGAGCAGAACATTCCATCCCAGGGCGGTTGCTTAATCAGGCGATCTGCAAACAGGAACCGAGTCTGGATACTACACTCGATCTTACCTCGCCTCACGGCGCACACAGACGTACTCTCCCCCTCCCAAGATGTCCCCCAGCGTGGGGGGGGGAGGCAGCTTGGCTTCTGACACCAAGACTCTGCAATCAACAGCCTTATTTCTAGGCACCTCGGAAACCGCTCCGGAGCGTAAAAGCCTCCAGTTGTGAGCGGTTTCTTTTTTTTAGCCTGGAAGGGATTTAAACCCCTACCATGGTTTTTCTGCTGGCTGCTCTACAGCTGATCTGCAGTCAGCTGTTTAGGCCCTGCCCAGGCACGTCTTTTGAGACTGCCTATTGGCGGAGGCTCTTCTTTGGACCTGCCCCTGCCTCCTGCTCCTGCCTCCTGGGTCCTGCTCCTACCTCCTGAGACCTGCTCTGGACCTGCTCCTGCAACTTGCTTCGGACCTGCTCCTGCCTTCTGGGACCCGCGCCCCAGGCTTACTGGAATCAGCCTCTGATCAGTTTCTGCAGCGGCTGACTTGGGAATACCTGGGGTAGAGCAGCTGGGGTGCTGCCAGGTTGGTCCCCATAGTGCCAAGGTGTGGCGCTGCGGGGACCTACCCGGCAGCGCCCGAGCTGCTCTGTCCCATGCGTCCAGATTCAGCCGCTGTTGAAACTGATCAGCGGCTGATTCTAGGAAGCCCGGGGCAGTGCATCTCTGACTTGGGCTTCCTGTAGTCAGCCGCTGGTCAGTTTCAACAGTGGCTGAATCTGGACGCCAGTTCTGACTTACATACAAATTCAACTTAAGAACAAACCTACAGTCCCTATCTTGTACGTAACCCGGGGACTGCCTGTACATAGAAAGCTTGAAAGACTTTAATTGAAAGTTGCTTTCTTTGCTTGTTCTGAAAAGACTTTTATATGCACTTGTTCATGAGAACTGTTTGAAACGATTTAAGTTATTTGAGTAATTAAGGTATAAAAATTAATTTCTTCTCTGTTAATCCCAAAATGAGTTACTCTTTCTTATGTTACGCATCTCGTGCATTCATCTGAAGAAGTGGGTTGTGCCCACAAAAGCTCATAGTACCATCTACATTTTTTGTTCGTCTCTAAGGTGCCACAGGACTATTAGTTGTTTTTTAAATGTTTTCAGTTACAGACTAACACAACTACCCCTCTGAAACTTAGCTACCTCAGAACGTTTGCTTGTATTCACAAGCTACAGTGAATTTTGGTTAACTATATACAAATAATCTTTCTTAAATGAATAATGGTTAACAAACTATTGATGCCAAATGGATTCTTTTCATGCTACACCTTTCCAATGGTCTGTTTAAAGCATCTTTAGATAGAAGAATAGATATGTTTACTATATTATACCATGAAGTGGTTAAATATTATTGCCAGTGTGACAGATCCATGGAAATGCCATGCAGATACACTCTACCGGTCATCCATATGACTGCACTTTTAGCCCACCACTGTGGTAACTGAGGGAAAGTAAGAAATGAGGTTAATTTAACAGGTCTTGGCTTGTCTTTTTGACAGAAAAACACTGCATGCATTCTTGTGCTCTTTTAATCACATGCCAAGCTCTCAGGCATTAGAGTTCCAACAAGCAAAAGTTGACCATTGTTCATCATGAAATGTAAGTAAATTTCTTCTCCTGCATGTCAAATTTTGCTCTATAAACTTAAAGCATTATTCAAATAAGAAACTTTCATACTAGATGTACTTACTGGTAAAATATTGGAGTAGCTGACTTGAGTCAAACTCAGCAAGAAGTGCCTAGTGAACTCAATAGTGTTGAGCTTTCTTGGTATCATTTGATGAAACCAAGCTTTTGATTCTGCAGGGTGGAGGGTTTGGAGTTTGCTTTAAATATAAGCAAAGATATTTTTAAGTAATCCTTCTTTATTATCAAAGTATTTTAAAAAAATTTGAACTAGTTTCTGCTGAATTTCTTAATCCATTAAGTCTGCAAACACTTTAAAATGAAGCAGAAGTATCATCTTTCATTTCCTGGGGCATTATGTAAATCAATATTCAGTTATATAGGTGAGCCTTAAATAAAAACATTTCCTTTGTGATTTTATTTAAGCATGTGTGTCTTTGCAGTGATATTTATGCTTATGTTGATTTGGGGACTGATGAAGAGTTTAAGATTCCAGTGTGTGTTCGAAAATGGGTATTTCTGCTCTTCCATTCCAAAAGGTAAGCTAGAGATATGTATTTTGATTACTGTGAAGGTGAAAATCACTCCAAAAATTCTACTTATGCTGCAGGGTTTATTGCTTAAGATTTCCAGGGTAGGAAGATGTTAGTTCTAATTTATGTTCTGGATTCAAAAGTTGATATTTTGAATAAGTTTGTGATTCATTTAATATTGATGAGGTGGGTTATGTGGCTTAGCCTTATTACACGTCTGATTGCAGAATAATTGTCCATAGTTTTGGATTAAATTTGTTGTTCAAGAATCTTTTGAAAGAAATATGAATAATAGTACTTCTAAAAAATTAATAGTTTGTGTCTTTAGTATGTATTTAATTCTTTCTTTTTCTTCCATATTAATTCACACTACTATATCTTCAAAATATTTCAAAAGAAACCCACTAATCACCATATATTCTATTTAACTTACTTTAGAACTTGTTACTGCTACTTAAGGAAAGGTAAGGTGCACAGTTAACAAGGTAAGGAAAGATGCACAGTTAACAAATCAGTGATTAAAAAGTTGGTACAGAATGTAAGCGCATATCTTCATTTTATGGAAAATATTTTACATTTTAGGACCTGATACAATGACCATTAAGGTGAATGAGACTCTTTCCAGTAATTTCATTGGCACTGTCTCTTTTGCTACTCTCTTTTAATTACTAAGTATGTAATTGCAGAATATGCAGAAAAAATCATTACAAACCTAAAATGCTAATACAAATAACCCAGAATGATTTTTCTGTACATAAAAATGAGATGACTTTGAGAGACCAATCTCAAGGTCTAGCATTAATAGCAAGTACTGTGTCCTGCTAGAAAAAGCTATGAAATTCTTCTTTCCAGCAGTCTAAATCTCCGTTAACATCTCTGTTGCAATATCAGACTTTAAATTAGTTGTTCGTTGTGAACTGAATATTACCAGTCCGAATCACAAAACAGTATAGTTTTGGTTTAGCTAGTGGGAGTGGGGGAAAAAGTGACTGAAGCTCCTAAGAGGTTTGGAATGTTAGAATAAGTTTCACAGATGAGTTGGTCAGAGAAAAATAAATATAGTTCATTACATGGCTTCGCAATTTAACACATAGATATCTTTGATATTTTACTATAAATATTGAGCAACATCTAGTCTTCATTTTCCAATTCCTGAAGTTTTTGTCCTGTGAACAAAAACTTCCCTTTATTTATAGATAGACCTAAAATAAATAACATTTTATTCTTAATGTCAAACAAACAGGTTTAATTTTTCAAATATCTACCACTTTTAGGAGGACACATTGAGATCAAATTAGGGTTATTATTTCACTCATCTCAATTTCAGCTCTTGAAGAGGGAGAAAAAGCTGATATATGAACAGAACTGGTGTTAATCACTCATATTCAAGCACATTTTTCTGTTTGATTCTCTAGATTTTCCTGAAGGTCTGACCTCTGTTCTATTCGTTGTCACGAAGATTGGAGTTATCAACTCAAGTGTCTTCACCAGCCCAAACTTGAAATCTGTCACCAGTCTAGCTTTAGCGAACAGTGGCATCGTAAAAATTGAACCTGGAGCCTTTTACTCTTTCCATAGTCTCACCAAACTTAGTTTATATCAAAATAATCTGACTACAGTTATGGCTTCTTGGCTTTCCAAACCAGAGCACTTAGAAAGCCTTACAATGTCCCTGAATATCATTCAGGAAATTGGCCCCAATATGTTGTCCAGTTTCTCTAACCTGACAACCCTTAATTTCGCAAGCAATAGAATTCATATGATTGAAGGTGGAAGTTTGAAGAATTTGTCAAAGCTAACTTTTATTGATCTATCTGGTAATAACTTATCTACCTTAACAAGAAATGTGTTCAGTGGGCTGATGTCCCCAATAATGAAACTGGGTGACAATCCATGGAACTGTTCCTGTGAACTTCAAGATTTTGGATTATTTTTGCAAGGTAACATAACACATAATTGCAATCATTCCAAACCCTTGGGCAACTCCAATTCTATTCAGATAACTAGGCGTCTGTAGCCCGAAATCTAATAGAAATGTGAAACTTTTTGGAAGTACTTGAGAATGGCCTGGTGAGTAGAGATGTGGTGGTTCAGGATTTTGCTGTATTTGTAATAATTTGATACACCTTAACGTATCAGAGGGGTAGTAGTGCTAGTTTGTTTTAGCAAAAACAACCAGGAGCCCTGTGGAACCTTAAAGGCTAACAGATTTATTTGGCCATAAGCTTTCATGGGCTGGAGCCCATTTTGTCAGATGACACCGTGGTCCCCAACTCACAAAAGCTTATGCCCAAATAAATTTAAGAGTTCAAAGTGCCACAGGATGTCTCGGTATTTTTACCTTACAGAATGTTACTGTAAATTACTTCCTTACTGTAGTAGTATTTATAGTATGAAGTCTCAAAGTTGGGGCTACATTCTGTTGGGCACTGTGTGGTAAATCGGTTTCCTTAGATAAGCATGTCACCTACAGTAACGATTTATTTTTAAAGAGTAGGAGGAATTAGTCCATGCTTCAAGATCATACTGTGAAAACATAGCGCAACGGAGAGCGAAAGATCTGAATAGCGTGTTGGTGATGATTTGTTTTACAGTGTCAGAAGAATGTAAAAAGGGAACAATGAGAAATTTTGGGAGTACAATGTTGGGTCAGTGTGGGGAGGTAGAAGGTGGCATTTTCAATGGAAGTTGAATCAATTGCAAAAATATTGCAGGCTGTTAAAATATAACCACCTTTCAGTTGTATTGTACACTATTCCAGACCTTCTGAATCCTGGGGTTCTTCTTGACCAATAACTTAGGGTGCGTCTACACTATTTCGAAATAACTAGCACTATTCTGAAATAACTTAGTCTGCGTCTACGCGGCATGCAGTTATTTTGAAATAGCGTCAAAATACTGTTGAGCTGGAGGACAACTTACACCGACTCTAGGGACCCTCATTGTATGAGAAATAAGGGAAGTCGGAGGAAGAGTGCTCTATTTTGAAATAAGTGCTGTGTAGACACTCCCTATTTCAAAATAAGCTAGGCAATTGACGTAGCTCAATGCGTGTAGTTTATTTTGAGTTAAGCCCTGCTGTGTAGACGCACTCTTAGGCAGAAAATTATTAAAATGTTTGGATGGACCTCAGCACCCGGGTACTCTGAATTATGTCTAATGCAGGTAGAAACAGTGCAATGGACAAAAATGGAAAGATGCATTTTATCAAACAATTGGAGATGGGAAAGATGTAGTTGATCTGAACCACCCCCCTCTGTCAGTGAAGGATTATTTCCTTATGATACATTTGAGCTCACAATCAGAGGCCAAAATGTTAGAACTAAAGTGCATAAAGTTAGGTCCCTGCAGCTCGCTCTCTGATGGTAGTGCAATCTGTGGGTACTTTAACAAGCGATGGTGAGAGCCCAGGATCTTAAGGAGTCACAAGTGAGTCTTGCACTATTTGTTTTTACAGAGCTGATGAATGCTTCTGTATTGGAAGATGCTTCATCTGTGGTGTGTCAGAGCCCACCAGCCTTGAAGGGAATTCCAGTTTGGAACATCTCTGACTTTAACTGCCCACCTATTCTCATAGCACCATCACTTGAGAATGACTTTTATAAAGTTGGATTGCCAGCGATGCTTCTGTGTGTAGGTGTGTGACAGTGCAATTTTCAGTATCTTATTTCATACTGTGAAATTAATTTCAAACTCAGGCTTTTGAAAGCATGTCCCACCGCCTTGCAGGAAAAGTTACACCCAGGTCCCGTACACCTCTTTTCAAGATAGAGTTGCCGTGTTCAATAGAACGATAATATGCAAGGCAAACCCAGAAAACAGTCACAATTCCACTGCAGAAATGACAGGCTGCTGAGTTTTTTTTAATTTCCTTGTCCAGAAAAAAAATTACTTTCAAGTTGTATTTTGAATGTTTTTCAGTACTTAATTCTGTAAAATGCATATCGTTAGTATACTTCATAATGTAGAATAAGGTTACTCATCAAGAGAGCAATTTACTGTTCCAGAAACTGGTAGCTCGGGTAATTAATTCTAAGCCATTTGCCATGTTGTCCAAGGAGATCCCGAATAAAGCATTTTTATTATTTCAGATACAAAGAGGCTAAGGGAAGTTTTTAAATTGAGACCTGCTGTGGGTGCATCTTAATATTTAATATATTGCATAAATTGAAAAGAACATGCAAATAAAGCACCTGGAAGATTGATTCTGTAGAGGCTGTGCATAAAAGCACAATTTGATGTTTAAAATAAAGTTTAAGAAATACAGATTTTGGTGGCAGAAACTTGCAAAAGAAATATTTTTTCTCTGCTTTTAGAGCATTAGCTTTGGTGAAAGTTCCATTTTTATTAATACAAGTGGATGTACAAAAAATATAAAAACATTCTCAGGAAATTTTTCAAAGTTTTGCCTTTAAATGAACGTGTTCATTTATAAACCACGTCAATACCTTTTTCGAACAGGAATGAAGTGGTTATACAATTTAGCTCTGTCTAGGGTATTTTTATCTTTTGTACAAGATTCCATCTAATTTTTATTTGATTTTTTTTTTTTTTTTTAGTGACATAGTTTTGGTGAATTTTAAAATTATTTGTTTGAACTATTTTTGCAGGGTTGCTTTCATTTCTTTTGCTGCTTCTCCTGCTTTGGAAAATGAAACAAGAGAAAAAGCAAGTGCAGCCAGGTAAAGAAGTTACTGTTGAAAATAGCCATGAAAAATTAACAGGTCACATTAACACGATGACAGAGAGACTAACGTGCCAAGGACTATTACATGAAAAGCTACAGACAATAGTAGAAATTGGCAAAACCCAACAAAATAGAACGCAGAGAAGTCGGGCAAAATCTGCCTCACCAATTATGTTGAGAACAGAGTTTCAACACAGTAGTTCTCAACACCCCAGACCAACAGATGAGAACCAGGAGCAACCCAAAATCTCTAGTATAGTAATAAATGAACAACCCTGCATGAAAAATGAAGACTGCAACAATGTTATGGAACTGTGGTATTTCAATAGCTTGCAAGATTGCAATAAGAAGGTTATGCTTAATCACAATGCAAACACTTCACCCACTGAGCTAAGCATAGAAACCCAAAACAAGGATAGTTCAGTATTGTTAAAGCAGTCATTGCAGGACGATGGTGTTTCAGAAGTGTGCTGGAATGATGGAGTTAAGGGAAGTGATAAAATAGAGAAGGTTGAACCTTTTTTGTATTTAAGTGTTGCTAGTACAACTGAAGAATCACCCAGTGTATCTGGCACTGGACACAAAGGTGCTGTGAACAGAAATGTGAATATGAGACTGTGTTCTTTGAGGAGAGTTTTTACGTGGCCGTATGAAAAATGCAAAAGGGATCAAAGCCAAGACACTTTATGTTGTGAGGATTTTTTCCAGGCATGTTCCTATATGCCCACTAGTGCTCCAGGTGTTCCAGCAGCAGTCAGGAAAACAGAATCCAAAGATGAACAAAATCTGTCTGATCCCCATCTAAGTACTGGAAGGGAACAAAAGTCAATTCGTGATTACTGCAGTAATGAACCTAACTTAAACAGAGAAGCAAAACCAGCAAGGAAATTGGTATCTCCACTTCAGAAAGGAGCTAAGCAAATAGCCACAATGGAGAATGCATATAACTCAGTGCCTGGAAAAGGATTCAGAGGCCCCGAGGCTGTAAAAAAGAATAACAAAAAGACGCCTTCCCTGACTGGATTTGGCAATGACCCTATTCGCTCGCCAGCATCCTCAGACAACTCTGGTCACAGCTCCTCCCCATGTGATAACACATTGCTCGGAAATAATGAATACACCTTCATTGATCTTTTGCATGAAGTCGTGGAAAATCGTGGAAGGCGGACTAGGGAGAGGTGGAAACAGACCCATCAAGTGCAACTTGCTATTCATCCCCCAGGGAAGTCAAAGTAAACTCATTGCACTACTCCAAAAAAAAAAAAAAAAAAAGTTCAGTGGACAGTAGACCATCTGCTCAACTGAAATTGTTGTTATAACATTGCAGACTGGTGAAATGTACCTGATTTGACAGTACTGGAAGTTGAAACCCTGTGGTACACATACGTCCAGAACAATGCAAACTGTTTCTTCTGATTGCTGCATGAACCCTATTTTGGAAAAGCCACTTCTAAGAACAAGAGGAGAATTTGTTCCTGCTTCAGTTGATTCTTTGTGCCAAAAAAGGGTGATTAATGTGACAGTTTTTGTGATGTGATCATTTATTTACAGGAAGCTAGACTGAGACTTACCAAACTCATTTGATTTAGGCAACCAGATAGACATCAGACGACTAATGAGTTTTGGTCAGTAATCATCTAGGGTAAATTTTCCAAAAATGCCCATATGATTTCCATACTAAAGTCCCATATAAAGTACATATGACTTACATATGTTGACTTAGCACTCTTGAAAATTTTATGTAGGCTGGTTTTGCTCCAGATATGTAGAAGAAGCCAAATTCCATTATTCACCCCACCCTCCCGAAATCACCCATATCATTACTGTCATATCAGCAGCTTAGAAATTGATAGTTCATGGGGTACGGAGCCTCGACCTGCTCTATTTATTGGCAGACACCATTAGTATCCAGAGATGTCAATCTGGCCTATTCATGAGCACTAAAAATGAATTTACTTGCACAAGAAATGCTAATGGGTTATACCTTCTTACATGACTCCCTAATTGTGCACTCTCTCTCTGTTTCTGCAGAATATTAGTAATAATGCAAAGCTATCTATTGAGCAATAGGGCTATTTTATATGTACAACACCGTCTTTTTGGTAGGCTTTATGGGTTTTACACACTATTTTCAAGTAATAATTTATAAAATGGCTAATAAACCATGTAACTAGAAATGTTTGTCTACAGTGAGCTATTAACTCTGTCTGATCTTCTGTAACGTTAGATCTTGTTCCACTATCCCTCATGAATTTCCATGCAAGTGAGAACAGCTAATTGTTAGTCTGTTTGCAATTCCATCCAAATAACACCTTCTTTTTAATGCTTATATTTGTTCAGATTTAGGGCTGGTGCAAATCACAAAGAATTTGTTTTGTATATTTTGGATTTGTTTAGAAATATTGTAATTTCTTCTCGCTAGATAGCTGGCCCTTGTCTCTCCCCTATCCTCTTCCATCCTCCTTTTTTGTGTGGAGTAAGGATTTTGATGGGGAAAGATTGAAAGTTAGGATATTTTGCTGTTAGGGTCACAAGTACCATTCACTCCCTTAAATTTATCAGTCTCTTTTCATTATTTATTGCTGTCATACCTTAAATTTTAATTCATGCAAATTTAATTGTTTATAATCTCCTGAACTGAGATTTAATGCAGAAAAGTAGGAACCATCATTTGCATACTTCTTACATGACTCCAAGGCTTTGTCTACACTGCAGGGTTTTTGCTCAAGAAGCCTTTTGCAGAAGAATTCTTGTGCAAAAACATCTTGCGCAAAAGTGCATCCAGACCTCAAAGCACATCGCAAAAGTGACGTGCTTTTGTGCAAGACAGCATCCACGCTACATGGACACGCTTGTGCAAGAAAGCTGATTGCCATTCACAGAACGGCCATCAGAGCACCTGTGCTTTTGCCGATAGGGGTTTCTTGTGCAAAAACCCCTCCAGAGCATCCACACCTGCCTTTACGCAAGAGCTGTAGTGCAAAAAGGAGTTATTCCTTGTGGGGAGAGAAATAACTCTACCAGCAAAAGCCCTCTGTTCTGTCGATTTTCTTGTGCAAAAACGCACTTGAGGTGTGGACGCTCCGCCGCTTTTTGCACAGAAACCTTGGGCTGTGTCTACACTGGTGCGATCTTGCACAAAAGCAGCCATTCTTGTGCAAAAACTTGCTGCTTGTCTACACTGGCTGCGTGTTCTTGCGCAAGTAAACTGACATGAATTTCTTGCGCAAGAATGCCCTATGGTTAAAATGGCTATCAGAGCTTTCTTGCGCAAGAGAGCGTCTACACTGGCATGGATGTTCTTGCGCAAAAGCACATGCCAGTGTTGACGCTCTCTTCTGGAAGAGTGTTTGCAGAAGAACTCTTCCGCAAAAGAGTTTTTGTGTGAGAACGCGCCAGTGTAGACGTAGGCTTGTAGTGTAGATATAGCCCAAGTGTAAAATGCATACTTGTACAAACAATTTATTCATAATGAAAAAGCATTATCTTCCACTAGCTCTTATTAAATATGGATTCTCTCTAGCTGTAAATATCTCTTTCCCAGGACAGGATTTTTCCTGTGATGTTGGTTATGCATGAATCGCAGAGTATCATCTGCGTTTTTCTCTTGTGTTTTTATAATTCTTTTAAAATGTTACCACTCAGCTTTTTAATGTTAGTTTTGTCACGGTTTTACTAATTCCGGAGATTTCCTGTTTGAGCCTGCCTCATTTGTTGTTAATCTGTAATGAATCTTAACATGGATGACTGGTCCAATTAGCGAACCATGTTTTCTTGAAGCATAAATACTCTGACCAGTGACATCTTATAGTACTCAAGGGAAGCTGAAGTTTTTAACAGAAAAGTCCATGCATTTCTGAGGATGAACTGTAAGTTGTTCCAACTTTTTTTAATTCTAGCAACAAACATTTGTATTTAAATTGTGCTATATATTCAGTGGGAAATTATACTGGTTAGAAATCAAATAGTGCATAAATATTTTCTAAGCGTGGTCAAAATGTATTCAGGCACACACTTTCTGTAAAGTAATAAAATATGAAATGAGAAAGCAATGCTCTTGCATATAAATGAATGTCTGCCATATGAACTGAAATTATTAAGAAAAAATAACATTGACATATTTCTGTAAAATGTGAACTCAGAAGTAATCCTAAAGGGTGCCTGTCATTTATAGAAATATTGCTATTGTAATGAATCAATTTTTGAGTTTCCCAAGTATTCTAGATAGGAAAAGCCTCTTCACTCATTTGGGAAAGGTATTCCTATTAGTCATACAGTATTTTTTTTAAAGCAGGGCGTACAATTCAATATACAATTATTGTGCTAATGCTTGTAATCTGAGTAGTTGTGTATATAAAACAGCATATCCTTTTAGATGCAGAATTGTAGTAACTGTCTTAAAATTTAACATTCAATTGCCTGCCAAACTTTTTAAAAGTTAGGCTGAGAAACTATAATTATTTTTTTAAATGAAAGTATACAAACATTTGCAGCTGCCTGAAATTGAAATCTACTTTCCATGGGACAATTTTGCCTCTTCTTTGATAATCACCCAAAATTAGTTCAGTAAAGTAAATTTCAGAATCCACCTTTCTTTGAAAATATTTCTAACCTTTATAGGATTTTTCTAAAGTGTGCATCTGACTAGCTGTTTGGGAAAATGTTAAACCTGCTTAGAGTATTTTTGGTTTTGCTACTAATAGGAACATATAATGTAACATAAAGAACGTGTAATATTTTTGAGCAAGTTAAATGAGTTTATAACCAGTACACATGTATCCCTTGCCTAGAATTAAGCCAATATGTTGTCAGTTACACAACACAACGCAAATGTAAATGCTTATATTCACAGACACTGAGAAAATGCCAGATGTATGCTTTGGGAGGAACATAAAAAGGTAGAATGTATATAGTCCAAGATATGTGCTGAAACAGGATACAGTTGGTGATACAGAAAACAATTCAGGAAATAAGTTAACAAAATAACAAGCTTAGGTCCATCATCTAAATAGTCTCATGGTTAGTGATATGGTATCTAAATATTTTCTACAACAAATGAGAATCCATCTTTTTTTCTTGGGGTAAAACACCTAATTTTACAGTATATTCAATCCCATATAAAATACATGGCAGCAGCGGTCTACACAGAAATGACCAGTTACCTAGTGCTCTTTTCCTTCTTACTAGTGCTTACATTACTTCGAGACAGCTAAAAATAAATATTGAAATATGAAATATTTCCTTAATATTGATTTTCTAGGTAAGCCATTACTGTACTTTCCAGGTGGATGTTGAGAGATGGTGAATGGGATCGTAAATGGTGAGAAGTGGGGGATTAACAAGGCGATTGTTCTTTTAAAGATATGGTGCACCATATAAAATAATTTGCAAATCCCCGTGCCGTCAGCGCATCAGTTAATAACCTGCCTATGAAGAGTGGGGATATTTACTAATTAATAAACACCACAATAGGAACGTAGAAACTTGCCTAGAAACAATCACCTTCTAACTCGTGATCACAGCGTGTCTGTCACTAGTGTGTACGGCATCTTAACGTTGAAGAGATTTCAGAGCAATGCTAAAAACGGTGGTTTGAAGCTTTCCGTAGCCAAGGGCCCTTTTGAACGAAATAGCTTTTATAAGCAGCAAATGCTACTGCGAGACTAAAACACTGTTACAGTGGAATGAAAAGATCATAAATACTCCTCTTGATGCATAACCTCTTAATCTATAGTATCCCAGTGGACATGGAATCAGTATAGTAAGTCAGAATCCTGCAAGTTTAAGACAATCCTCAAAAAGAACTTTTCAAAAATGTGTGTGTGTGTGTGTAACTGGATTTTATGTGTAAACAGGTCCTTTGGCGCTTGCTAGTTTTCTTCTGCTGATTTGCCTGGAAGTAGGCCGGCCTTGTCCCCCGCTCTGTAAATACTGCTCCACAGGGCTAGCGGAGTGTGAGCAGGTCTCATCACTTCAGGAAGGTAAAACCTTTGTTCCTCTCCTGCGTTCCTGTTGCTGCCAATTCATAGAGGAGACAAGTAGTGAGTGGAATTCTTAAATCACATGTTGCTTTTGAGCCAGGGTTTGTGCTTTGTAGTTAAGTGTCTAGAAGTAACAATGTATTCACTTGAAAAACTATAAAGAGGAAAAAGCCAAAAGCCATGGCCATATATAAAAGTTATGTTATCTAGTCAAGGTTGTGATGGGGCTTATGAACACTAGTAGGCCATAAGCCAAGAATAAAAGGGACTATATTTAGGAGAACATGACAAGGTCTGTCTTCAGCCCTGCCGATGGGGGAAGGAAAGAGGCAAGGCCGGGTGATTCAAAGGGACCTGGGACTCCTGGCCAATACCACTGCTACTGTGGCAGCAGCCCTAAGCCCTTTTAATTGTGGCACTCTGGGTGGCTTTAAGACAGGGCTACTCATATTTGCAGGCTGTGGTGCAGTTTGTGTTTACGGTGGGGCTCAACATGCGGCCCGGGGGTGAGAGCCAAAACAAAAAAGAAGTCAATAGAATGGTCTTCTGTTGAGATGCGTTTTAGTAGTTAAATTTCTGGACTGTCACTGCTCATTAAAAGTGCTGTCATGTGGGTGGAAATCGGGTCCATATTGCATTTTATTCACATCAGCAGAACTGACTTAAATGGGGCTTGCGTGTTGTGTAGTCTTGCCTTAACCTTTGTAGTCATGCCTGTCAGTGTGAAAGAAGCTATTTGCATATATGTTTGCATGTATATGTAACCACACTTAAGTTGCGGCCCTCGGCATGTGCTGTAAGTATCATTGTGGCCCTCGGAGCTTCCAAAGTTGAGTTGCCCTGCTCAAAAGGGTGGAGGGCAGGGAGTGGGAGATGGTGTGGTGCTCTCTGGGCAGCACTGAGAGCTACCTACTCCTAGCCCCACCCCTTCCACCTGAAGCCCCACCCCTTCCAGGAACCTAGAGCTGGCCACCCACACCTAGCCCACTGGCCCATGGAGGCTGTCAGTGCCCCTCCTATCTTTGAGTAAATTGCTTTCAGTCATTGTGGTGTGGTCTTCAGCTGTAGCTCTTTGTACTTGCCCAATGCAGCCACATCCCAGGGCTGATTCCCAATGTAGATTAGACCAGTCTATTCTCTTCCTGTGGTTTAGGTCCTAACATCTTTTTTTTTTCTTCCTCAGTTTTACCAGGTTTGCCAAACTCCACAGAGAAAATACTGTTGCGGCATGGAAACCTCAGCAAGATACCCCCGCTATCTTTCCAGAACTTCCCCCGGCTTCACTTGCTCTCCGTCACTGGATTTCCGTTCTCTTCCCTTGCAAACATGACCTTTGTGGCAAAGGACTCCAGCAGCCTGAGGAGTTTGGATCTCAGCAGTAACTCCCTGGTGAGCTGTGGGATCCAGCCTTCGGCTTTCGCTGGCCTCGGAATCCTCGAGGAGTTGATTCTTACAGATAATGCCTTGGACACGGTGAAAAGTTCTTGGTTCTTGGAGATGCCGTTGCTCGCCAAGCTTCTCCTTTCTGGCAACAAAATAACTTACCTTCCACCACGGACTTTGGAGAGTTTGGCTAAGCTGAACGAACTTGTCATGTCTTCCAACTTTATTCGATATCTTTCCAAGGACACTTTTTATGGGCTGGCGTCATTGACCAAACTGGACTTGTCAAGCAATGAAATCCTGTTTATTAATAACGAGGTTTTCCAGCCTTTGCATGCGTTGACGCATTTACAGTTGTTTAATAATAAGCTGACTGCACTGGCCAGCATCCCAGATTCTCTTGCCGCCTTGTTTCTTAATGAAAACCCTTGGTTTTGTGACTGCCATCTGGTGAGCTCCATGCAGCTACTGAAGGAGAAAGTGCAGACACCTGGTGGCTTCGTGTGCAACAATCCACCAAGCCTGCGAGGATGCCAAGTGTTGAGCGTAGGGCCGGAAGTCTGTGCCTTTCTACCCCAAGAAACCACTTCCAAATTTGACTTGCTGTATGGCTTCACAGGTAAACTCCAACAGCATGTGTTTGGGAGCTGCTGTCTGAATTGTTAGCTATGTTCATACGTCACATTAAAGGTGTAGAGTATAAAGGATCTTCAGAGTTTTATTTTGCCTTACTGGCTTTGTGGGGCCTTATTCATTAGCATCCAGAGGGCAGTCTTTGGGCAAGACGACCCCCAAGTCAGTAAAGGGATGAAGGAACCTGGAAGGAGATAATGCAGATCCTATCAGATGGTGCTTCAGAGCAGGGTTGAGGTGTTTTGACAGACCTGTGTGGTGAAAAACTTGCATGAAACGGGCCTCTGTAATGCCGACAGACACTGGTCATCTGTGGATGGACTCAAACCTGGGACCTCTGGAGATTAGTGCATGAGCCTCTACCGCATGAGCTACAAGCCAACTGGCTATTAGCAGAGGGTACATCTACACTTCCAGGAAGACCGACGCTCCAGAGGTCAATCTTCCGGTGTTTGATTTAGTGGGTCTGGTAAGGACCTGCTAAATTGAACGCTGAGGGTGCCCCTGTTAACCCCAGAACTCCTTGAATTCACCAGGATACATAACAGTTGCAGTCCAAGATACACAACTCAAATTACTTGAATTGTGTAGCTGGAGTTGACGTACCTTGCATCGATCTTTCTGGGGCAGCCTCACAGCAGGAGGTCAAGGGGAGAAACGGAAAAGTTGACGAGAGTTTTTCTCCTCGACCTCCCAATATGGGGCTGCCCCAGAAAATCGAGGCAAGGTATGTTGACTTCACAAAACTGAAGTTGCATATCTTGCATCGATTTTTCTTCTCTGGTATAGACCTGGCCTGAGGCTGTAGAGCAGACTCATTGTTCTCTCTGCAAGTGGTCTTGGTGCCATTAGATGGGACAATCCACTACATTCAAACAGTGTGTAGGTTACAACTGCACCATGCCTGACAGTTGTAGATACTGCTATGACGATCCAGTGCCAAGTTCATGCTGTACACTTAAAAAATGAAGTAATGAACGTGGTCTGACTCTCATCCTCTCTCTTGCAGGAGGACTTTTCTTCAGTTTTATCGTGTGCCTGATTGCCTGCTTCGTCACCAAACACTGGAAATACAGCAGAGTCACTAATCAGGCAGAGGATGGACACAGCTCACAGAAGGACTCTGTGGAAGAGTTCCCACGGAGCGTGACCAGTGTCCCTTCCGTATCCCCACTTCCCCATAGCGGTGTGATAAAAACCAGTAGGACAAGAGGCTTTCAGAAAGAAAGCAAAGCAGATACAAAAGAAGACGCACCCGGTGACGTTTTCAACAACACGCCCCAAGCCAGCAGAGAATATGCAGCAGAAACAGGCACTCCAGTAAAGTTGCCTGGAATGGCCCTGCTGCCGGTTCCCCGTCACGCAGGTAAAAAGATCCTGACGATCTATCCAGAAGGAATGGAAATTGAAAGTCCAGACAAAGCAAGCCCAGCTCTCCGCCTCGTGGGCAACCAAAGTGTGGAGACAGCAGCTGAAATCCCCAGATGTGTCAGTGCCCCCAGTTTACTTCCTAATGTGGAGCTACAGCCTTCTCTAAAGAGGGACCATGGCTTGTATTGCCCATCATTCAGCCACGAAAAAACTGTCCAGAAGAGGGAACAGTTGGAGATTGGCGAACCTGGTAAGTTCCGTTAAAGCGGAAAAATGATTACTCCGAAAAGGTGGCGGCGGGGTTGTCGGAGGGGGAGGTTGGGTGTTGGTTGCTTTACAACAGGACTAGGAGAGGTCGTGAAACAGAAAATAACAACTCCGACTTTCATTTCTGTATTTTGCCGTGGTGGCCCTGTGCTCTGCCCACTTTCAAGGGGCTTGCTGCTGAATGAGGTGGCCCGTTATAATGGAGGCTGCTGCCACGAATCCGCAGAACCAGCACGAATTCTCAGTAGGGGCTACTGTCCAATGGGGCATCTTGATCCACTGAACATCTTCATCCCTCATCCGGAATTTGCATCGTTCCCTACTCAGTCTTAGGGTACCGAGCTGTCAGCTCCATTGGCGAGGCATTGCGACAAGAAGATGTTTCATGTTTAGAATGGTGGTCTTATTTCAAAGAACGTGACTGTAGAAATCAACGCAGGATGCTCTTGCCCGTCGCGGTGCTTGTGTTCACCACCGCAAATGGCAAAATCCGCAAATGCTGGGGGCCGTGGCCCCGGCGGTGAGCTGCCCAAGACTCCCAAACTCATTGGGGGCCCAGGAGCTGCAGGAAACTCACGGTGGAGGGCCCCAGGAGCTGCAGGGAACTCACGGTGGGGGGCCCCAGGAGCTGCAGGGAACTGATGGGGGGGGGGCGCCGGGGCGGCCGGGGGACC